TGATAACTACTATCTCTATTAGATCTCGCGTAGATTTATGATAGATTAGATTACGAGAATAAAGACAATAAGTCTTTTCATTATATATATGAATAATTAACCAAAGGTGCTGATCTACTTGGTCAGTTTCTTTAGTCTGTAAAAAGACTAGCTACAACGTAGACCTATATGCACGTGTAGTTAATAAATTAAATAAAAAAAAAACTGTTATGAAACAGACACACATCTATCTACAATACTAGATATACAATAAATATATAAAGGTCGGCCTCTGATGAGGGTTTACCTGGGATTATTCCCGAAAGAACCCGAAACATTGCATATTAAATTCTAAAGAATTAAGCAATAAAAAGTACGTAGTGTCAGGTCAGAAATATTGATACCATACCATGAATAAGTGGGTTTATGGTCTTTTTATAAAACAATCAAATACTAGAAAACAAGTGACAGAAATATCTTGAATATCTTAACACGGTAATAACAAAATTTGGTATATAATTCGGAAAGATCCGATTGCCAAAAAAAAAATAAATACAAAAAAAAAAAACCTACCTAAATCCAAACCAGATATTGGTTTAAAAAACAATAAGAATATTGGCAACATGATAATTAATCATTAAGCCGAAGACATTGATTCTCAATACCCCAGCAAACAATTCAACATTTTAAAAACGTTTTAAAAATGTTTTGTTTTGGTTTCTAGAATGTTTTATTAAAACGTTTTAAAAACCAAAATTTGTAGACTCTTATAAATGTTTCAAAAACATTTTGAAGAAACGTTATTTTGGAACATTCAGAAAACGTTGGAAAAAGGTTTTATGAAAAACGTTTCTGTCAACCTCCAATAAACATTTTCAATACATTTGTGTAACAATGATGCATTAGTGCGACCACCATTACTTTGGTTTAAAAATATATAATTGATTGTGCACGCGTTTAATTGAAGAAAAAGCAACATCTCCATAAGCTTGGATGGATGGTTGGTTGTTTAACGACCAGTGGCAAGTCAGATGCATATTCTGGATGAGAACATGAATATTAAAAATTAATACCCTGTCTTGTATTACACCAACATGTTGTGCCAGATTTTTTGGTTCTAGCCCACAAGGCAAGTTTGCAGGATGACATGTCACATTATTCTGACTACGGGCCAAGAAGTCTTTGCTCTAACTCATTTTGGGGAGAAGCAACAAATAATAATTTTATTGTCATTGGTTTGGCCCGGCCGAAGTTCCAACCCACAACCTCCGCACTTGAGGCGACGACACTGACCATTACACCAAAGCTCTAAAGGAATATATTCTTTATAAAAAAAAACTATGCCAAAGCAAAGCTTGTCAACCTCTAACTGTTTAAACTTGGTCCTGTGACCTTGAAAGTCAATTCAATAAGGTTCTTGCATTGACAAGGAGATAACATATCTCTTAAACCGAGAATTAGACATATTATCATAATAAATTATAACCAAAGCTTCAATTGTTGCAGAAATTGGAATATAGTTTTATAAACATCTTTAATCACTTTGCAACAAAAAAAAAACAGTATTGACAGGACTAAAATCAGTAGAATCAATGTACTTTTAAACAGATTTATTTGTTCAGACTCCAATTCTTCTTGCGCAATCGTCTGTCCTTTTCTTACAGGTTTCTGAAATGATCAAAAGCAATTTGTTAACGAGATCAGTACGCTCAAGTACACTGTTTAGCATATAACTCTTAACCCCAGTTAGTTGTTGTACTCCCTTTTAATCAAGCTATTTCATTAAATCTATAAAGGGGAAATTATGCTATTTTTTGCAATCCAAGTAATTATTAAGATAGGCAAAAAACATAAATAATATTTTACATGTCAAAAGCAATTGCTACAAATGTAAATCTCAATGTTTTACTTGCAGGAAAAAGACAATAATTCCATCGTCAAGAACATAACAATGTAGTATTCTAATGTCTCTAAATAAACAGAAGTTCTGCATGGTTGGCAAATGTTATATTGCTATAAGTGGCTCAGAAATTTGTGTATAGATATTCAAATTGCAAAAATAAACTTTTAAATAAATAAAACCTTCCACTTAAACGTATATTTAGACATTTTATTCAATTGAAAAATACCTTATATTTTGGTCCTCCTGGCTTGTGTGGGGCCTATTTTAGGAATTCAATTAAGACTCCCTCCATATCGGAAACCTTGGATTTTGGGAACACTCTTGTACAACTTTCTGAAAAGGTATTACAGAATTAAAAAGATATATTTCATTATTATTTTTAACTTCTTTAAACTTTTATATATATATATATATATAATAACTTTATGTAACTTTGCACTCTGTTTCTACCTAAAATAATAAGTGAGAAACATTATATTCATATTCATCATATGAATTCTTTTTGAGATTAAAGTCAGATAAAAAATCCAATCTATATTAATGGCACTTGCTTTTAAATGTTCGACATATTTTCTTAAATCAACTTACTCATGATTATCCTGCACAAAGGGTGACCTGTGAATGCCTCTTTTCCCTTTTGCCCCTTCAGACTGTATTTGGTCCATAACTGATTAGTGCCACACTTCTTCATCATCCTTCCTATACAGTTTGAAGGGCTGTGACTACCCTGTGACACCAAATACTGGACCTACAAAATTACAATTTAGTCCCGTTGTTATTTATTTTTCGCGAAATCAAATATTTGTTTTATAAATAATCGTGTCCATGAACCAATCTTAGCAAAACCTACTAATATTATTATTTTATTTCTTGTCCGTATCGAGTTTCTATAATGATTTTCCATGTATCGCTGTGTATACGTTATAACTTATATGCAATTTTATATGCATTTGAATGTTTGTCTTCAATTACAGGTTTATTCTATTAATGCATGATTTTTTTATTCATATATATAGCATGTTTCGCTTATATATATTTACTTTTAATTAATATATATTATCTTTAACTGATAAAATCTGATTTGACCTTTTCTCGGTAGATTGTTCTGGTGTTACATTATAAACTTTTACACATCTATTTATTTGAAAGGATTTTCCCAACGTAAATGATCTGTGGTAATCAACACTGGTCGTATATGAATTTCTTTAATTGATGATATTACACCTGGTGTTTCAGATATCATTCAGGTCAAGTTCGACCTAAGCCGTTCATCCTCGTCAGGTGCCTTTGCGTAATATTTTTATTTACTATAACATTGGATTATGATTACTTTTTAACTATTATCAATATGTTTCTATCGTGTAACGTATCAAATGCAGTTACATTTTGTGGTAATACTGAATTGTTCATGACTGGCAAGTTACAATTAATTTTAGTCAGACATAATCATATAAGATATTTTGTAAAATGAGGCCAGGCACTGGCAGCACGGCTATGGGTAGTCCAAAAAAAATATGACGTCTTGAAAGGATATTTTTGATTTTTGCTGTTGCTACGAAGTTGGAGGAGGGCGTCCACATTTTTTTTGTCAAATAAGAAAGCCTTACAATCGTCATTATTATTTGACTACGCTCTAGGTAGTTTAAATGATTAATTATGCTGTATTCGGAGGCTTGTTTTTATTTAACTCGTGTAAAAGTCAGACCAGTAGCCCACGAAGCATGACAAATTGACACGTGATGGCATCATGCAGTGGTGAATGTGAATTTATGCCTGTACTGTAGTAGTTAAATCTGTTAATCATGTAAATAGACTCATGCAAATCATACGAATGTCATGGAGAAAATAATGCAGTAATTTGTCTCAATTTCTACAAAATACATCGAATGTTTATTGATTTTATACATACCTCATAGACTGAACGCTATTCTGTAGAAATGCTCTTCTAGCCCCAGTAAACAATCCAACGTTGACATTACGTTGTGACAACGTAATACTATCGTTGTGACAACGTAGTAAAATTACGTTGGTACAACGTAATTTTGTGGACTCCAAGGCACGTGCTGACAACCATCCACACAACGTTGGCACAACGTAATTTGTGACGTAATGTATTACCATCATAAGACGTTGTCACAACGTCGCAACACAACTGTAAATGTCCCTTGTCCTCATTTGATTATAAAATTCCATTGAAGAAGTAAACAGGGTCTATATTTTATTCTTTTGACCTGTTTTAAGTTGTAAATTTGTCTATGTAGGAAAGATGGACACAATGTCGATATGTACTCTATTTCCAAACTGCTAGCTGTGTATAATATAGCCACAAAAGTTTGTTTTTTTTACCTTTTTGCCAGGTTTCAATGTCAAATGTATAAATATCTCGTTTTCCCAAAAACTTTGCATTATGTTTTACATTAAACCTGTAGTTTTGTCCAATTAATGTTTCACACAGTTGTTTAAGGTTAAAGTCTTAGTTTTTAACTTTTGCAATACTGAAGTACAAGATTTATACATTTCCATTTAACAAAAGCAACTTTTCTTTAAAAAATTTAACACATAATACTTTTCGAAAAAGGAGATTTTGTATGATGGCCAACGAGACAACCCTCTATCCTAAAATCAAATATTGATGATGTTAGCAATTATAGGTAACTGTACAGCCTTCAACATGACATCTTGGTACATGCTGCAACTTCTGGATGTTTAGGGTTTCAGTGTTCTAGAATATAGATTTCACTATGATGGTGGAAATTCTAGAATGTAGATTTCACTTTGACGAAGGAGAACATTTTTTAATGAATTATTCAGAAATACAACAAACTACTACATATACCTTAATGTTTACTGTAGATTCATTCAGCTGGATTCACTACACAATGACAAGCTAGGAAAAAAGTTTGGAAAAAGGCCCAAATGCTTACTGTCTAATTTACAAATATATATTCTACACAACTTATACACACTTCTAAAAATATCCCAAATGAAGAAAATACCTGAAATACAATCAAACTAACTATTCAGTATTGCTTTTTTTCCATTGACCAACTAGAGATAGACCTACATGTATCCAAAAGTTAAGACTTCTTTTTTCTTAGCTTCATGAACCAATAAAAAAATAATAAATTAATATGTTTCTGAATTTTTTTATTTTTATTCCAAATTTTAGTCTTGTGTTGGCTGTATACATGTCATTCCAAATTTTGGTTTTCTGCCCTCTGATCAGCTGGTCTTGTGTTGGTTTCAGGTCTCTGAAAAATAAATAATCATAAATTATAAAATACAAAAAAAAAACTGATCCTAACTTATGAATTACAGCATTTCTTAAAAAATATCCTGTGTGTAAACATAATTAATATTTTTTCTATTGCTGGTCGTATAATAAATCTTGCAGATTCATAATTATGTTGGTGCTGTTACTGAGATGTTTGTATCTTTGCCAATTATACACATTTTATAATGTATGTTAGAAATTTTAACATAATTTCAACAGTATATAATAATTTATAACTTTTGGTTAACCTTTGTTCTTATTTAAAAAATAAATTTGTTGTTAAATTGAACATGTGTTAATGAAATTATGGCTGTTCCAGAAAATACTATGTCTGCCCCCCAGGGACGACCCTTTTTTTAACCCCCAGCACCGACAGAATTAATAAACTGCTTCGCTGAGCGCAGCTGGATACTCCCGCAGAGGTCCAATCCTGAACAGTTGGGGCAAAAATGGACACAATATTCAAGCTTGATACAGGTCTGAATTTGGATTAAAATTAAATATTTGACATATTATAGGTTTATGAATAAATGTAGTCAAAGAACTTGAAATTGGTTATATGAATTGAATTTATATTCAATTAATTTAAAGATTTCTTGCTGTTGTGCAATACTCTGTGCCGTTGCGCAATACTTAGTAAATCTGTTGTCAGAATATAAACATTTAAAGTTCAATTAATTCTTAATGTCATATTAGAAATTATGAAAATCAAAAGGGAGCTGACATCAATAGATATAAACAATTCACCAAAGTTTCATGAGAATTGCTGTCAGCATTTTTGAGTTATTGTCCGAAACTGGAAAATCCCCCCTTTTTTAATGAATAAAACCCAATAACTCAGAAATGTAAAATGTAAAATTTATAAAATTCTAAAGGGAGCTTACATCAATAGATATAAACAATTCACCAAAGTTTCATAAGAACTGCTGAAAGCATTTTTGAGTTTTGTCCGAAAACTGGAAAATCACCCTTTTTTATGAATAAAACCCTGTAACTCGGAAACGTAAAATCTAAAATTTATAAAAATCAAAAGGGAGCTCATGTCAATAGATATAAACAATTCACCAAAATTTCTTGCAAGTTGGTGAAAGCATTCTGGAGTTATTTTCCGAAAACTGGAAAATCCACCATTTTTTAATGAATAAAACCCCATAACTTGGAAACGTAAAATCTAAAATTTAAAAAAAAACGAAAGGGAGCTCACGTCAATAGATATAAACAATTCACCAAAGTTTTATGCAAATTGGTTAAAGCGTTTTTGAGTTAATGTCCAACATGTTGATGACGGACGGACAGACGGACAACGGTTTACCATAATACGTCCCGTAAACGGACGTTTAAAAATAAATAAGAACAACACTCTCTTTGAATTTTGGTATTTCAAATACAACCACCCCCCACATAAATTTTTTTAAAAAGAGCCTTCCCTGGGGGGGACATAGTATTTTCTGGAATAACCAGTAGTTATTCTACAAATAATAATGAATCCAAATTAAAAAAGGAAGTTTGGTTCCTCAAAATTGTTATTTATCAATTAATTTTAGATATTCATAGGATTTTACCTTAATACATTTAGAATTTACAGCAATACAGCAAGACCTTACACAATGTATATCATATGCCAATGAACGCAATCTATAAAATCAACAAATTATAATTTGATAAATAAAATTAATAAAAGAAGAATGTGTCTATGAGCCACAAATGATGTTATTAAAGGAGATAAAGAACAGTAAAACAGATGCTCTCCAAATTCAAACTCTGCGTTTTATGATAATAAGCATTGTGTATAAATTTCATAACATGTCGTTCAGGCAAAGTAAAGTTAGAGAACAGAAACCAATTTTGAGTTCAATGTATGTACGTACAGTACAAGAGTAAAACTATATCACTCAGTGAAGGAGGGCATAAAAAGAGCTGATCAACTGATGTTTACCTTTTAATATCTTGGTCCATCTTTTTGAGCTGGTGCATGCTTAAGTGTTACTGCAATGCATTCCTCAACCTCAGACACATTGGATCTGTGGATTTTTATACAAGACTCTGGAAAAAAAATTATAAATACATTCAATTATCTTCTATATTCTTCTGTCTGTTTACATGTGTGTCGGTCTAACAAATCTTTGGGAAAACTAGGTAAGTGACAAATTTACATGCATTCCAAAATTCATAAGTTTTATGATTGATTGCGACATTGTTTCTGGTCACATATTTAGTGAGAGTTGAATACAGCTCGTCATTGATAAACATTTAGATTTCATACCATAAATTGAACAGCAAAAAAGACGTCCTTATATACTGGTTTTTCTAACACCAGTAAACTTGGTTTTACCCTCAAAACAGGAAAATGTAACCCAACTTTTCCCGACTGGATCCTAGTCTAATAATTATGACGTCTTGGAAGGCTATTTTAATTTTTTTCTGTGACGCCTATCTACGACGACCTAGTGCCAAATAATTATGACGACTTGGAAGGCTATTTTAATTTTTTTCTGTGACGCCTATCTACGACGACATAGTCCAAAAATAATTATGACGTCTTGGAAGGGTATTTTAATTTTTGTCTGTGACACCTATCTACCACGACCTAGTCCCAAATAATTATGACGTCTTGGAAGGGTATTTTAATTTTTTTCTGTGACACCTATCTACGACAGTCTTTATTGGCACAATTGTCTATTCCCATGTCAGACCCAGTGATACATTGATTGATTGTTGGTTGCTTAAAGTCCAGTGGCAAATATTTCATGCATGTTCAGGACGACCCCAAGTGATACATGTAGTATTATCATTAGTAGGCCGAGTTTGTAACATGCCAAGTTTGTAATGACTAATGGGCAGAGTTTGTAATGTGCCGAGATGTCTAGCTTCGCATTTGTGATATTCATAAGACTTTTATGCTTCCAACATTATCAAAACATAACAGTGCAAAAGACACTTGCAGCCTTAATATATAGGAATAGTAGCTCTTGGCATGAATAGAAAACAAGTGCCTGTGCACCCCCCCCCCCCCCCTTTTTTTATTACTTTCTACAGTTAATTGCATATACCTTAAAAAACAACACAAGTTAATCGATCAATCTGAAAAATGGATTCAAATAACACAAATGTTGGCTAAAATATCTTGTATCAGTGCAATATATTGACCGTAAAATAAGAAGTATCAGTCACTATCATATTTCAACACGGTCACGGACAACAGACTTGAAAGAGGCGCCCAACACGACAACAGATGTTTTATTTTCTTCAATCATACTTGTTTTTATCATGGAGAACCTTTTTGGCGTAATGTGCAATTATTATATTACCTTTTTCTTTGTTCTGGAATCTAGATCGAGCTAAATTTCACTGCAAGTTTTCTCACTGTTTTTAAAAATCAAGCGGTGAAAGTGCGCATGCTCAGACTTTTCATAGTATGCAGCGGTAAAACCCGAGTACTGCTGAACGTTCCACTATTATCGTAAAAAAACGATTATGAAATTAAAAAATAATAAATGATGACAAAACTTTAATGATATATTAAACAATAAATATTCATATAAAATATATATATTAGAACATTAAAATTGGATTTGTAATATTTTCTTGGACATTTTGGTGCAAATTATGTCTGTGCGGGAAAAAAAGGGGGATATTTTGAAAATCGAAAAAATCGTGAATATATTCTAGTGAAGGTGAATGTTATATCCAGGATGACTCATATCCACAAAATTCGTCCCATAAAACCAGATTTAAATATGTCACTGGTATTCACAGGTTTGTTCACTACGTTATTATAATGTTGATACGACGTAACAAAATGTTACGTCGGATTATGACAGTTATAAGCACGTTGTCACAACGTAATAAAATCTCACGTCCTGACAGGGTACTAAATTTACGTAAATTCGACGTAATTTTATAACGTCGTCTGTACGTCTGCATCCAACGTTGGGTTTTTACGTTCCCACAACGTTGGTACGACGTAAACTCAAGACATGACGTTCAGACGACCATTAACCGACGTCGGGAGTACGTCGTGTGTTTGCTGGGAGCATGTCTAGTATCGTTGTTTTCCCAATTTAAAAAAGGCGGTGAGAGTATCCGGAAGTTTCGAACAAATTTTATCTAATGAAGAATTCTGCTTTAATACAAATTATTGTCGTAAATAATACATTTTCTCAATTAAAATGTCTATCTTCGAATATGATAATACTTTAGAGATGCGATAAATGGAAATATAGAAATAAAATACGAAACTAACTAATAAGTTACAACTGGTTCCCGGTTCTACAGAAAAAGAAACCAGTTATTAGAATACAAGAATTTTTTTTTTGACATTACATATCATCATATCGACAGATCGAAGATGACTTTTTGTAAATTAAAAATTAAAAGTAATTATTAAAAACAAAAATATTGCGGTGATATGGGAAACATGATTTATAGAGTTTTTCTATACTTAATAAAAAAAACATTTTAGAAACATTATTAAAAAACAAAATTAAAAACGTTGTTTTAAAATGTATTATTTATGTTCATCAAAAACATTTTTGAAAAAATGTTTTTTTTACGTTTAAAAAATGTTTGTAGGAACATTTCTACTATAGTTACAGAAAACGTTTCAATTAAACCTTTTAAAAACATTTCTTAAACGTTTTTTCGACACTAACTTATTTGAAACCTTTAAAAAACGTTTCTAAAATGTTCTGTGTTTGGTGGGTAATAACAAAACTTGGTATATAATTCGGAAAGATCCGATTGCCAAAATAATAAATAAAAAAACTATCTAAATCCAAACCTGGTTTTGGTTTAAAAAACAATAAGAATATTGGCAACATGATAATTAATCATTAAGCCGAAGACATTGATTCACAATACCCCACCACGGGAGGCTTTAGTATACAATCATTATACTGTGAAACAGATGTAAAAAGACGTGATGCCGATTTATTTCAAGAGATCACGTACAAGGGAAAACAGAATGGTTCCTGTTATATTCATGCATAGACCCGACATGGTATCTACACAAACCTCTTCAATTGTTAAACATGGAGACATTTGTATATTATCAAATAGGTGTTAAAACATACACGACAGTCTAGTGTGAATTCAACAGTATAACACTGATAACTACTATCTCTATTAGATCTCGTGTAGATTTATGATAGATTAGATTACGAGAATAAAGACAATAAGTCTTTTCATTATATATATGAATAATTAACCAAAGGTGCTGATCTACTTGGTCAGTTTCTTTAGTCTGTAAAAAGACTAGCTACAACGTAGACCTATATGCACGTGTAGTAAATTTGAAAAAAACTGTTATGAAACAGACACACATCTATCTACTATACTAGATATAAAATAAATATATAAAGGTCGGCCTCTGATGAGGGTTTACCTGGGATTATTCCCGAAAGAACCCGAAACATTGCATATTAAATTCTAAAGAATTAAGCAATAAAAAGTACGTAGTGTCAGGTCAGAAATATTGATACCATACCATGAATAAGTGGGTTTATGGTCTTTTTATAAAACAACAAGAATATGATATTAAAAGACCATCTACAGAAAGTCTACTTGATATTCTTAGTATTTTACTGACAAAAAATGAATTTACTTTTAATGAAAACGCATATAAACAAATCGTTGGCGTTTCAATGGGCGGAGTTGCTTCCCCGGAAATATCTGATATTGCTATATTTGACCATATAAATAATATTATAGAACAATATCCATACAAAGATAATATTAAATTTCATAAACGAATGAGAGATGATGGCTTTATTATATTTAATGGAAGCAGTGAGCAAATTAAACAACTATTTGAAATAGCAAATAAGAAACATAACCTGCTGAAATTCACTTTTGAAATAAATACTCGTACTATGAAATTCTTAGATGTTGTATTGTATAAAGGAAAACGGTTCACCACATCTAAGATACTAGATGTAAACTGTTACACCAAACCCACGGAAAAATTTCAGTATATACATAGAAGCTCGAGTCATGCTCCTACCTGTTTCTCTTCTTTTATTAAAGGAGAAGGGACTAGAATTCTTAGAAACACCAGCAGTAAGGACGAATTTAATAAACGTATTAAACTGTTTATAGATAAATTATCTAGACGGGGATACACGAAAGAAATCGTCAGTCAAATATTGCACAAAATTCGTCACGAAGACAGACAGTTAAAACTTCGGAAGAAACAATATAAGAATAAAATAACAGGCAGAAATATGTTCATTACAACGTATCATTATAATGCTGAATATCTTAAAAAGATTATAACAAAGTTCTGGTATATAATTCGGAAAGATCCGATTGCCAAACAAATATTTAAATCTAAACCAGATATGGGTTTCAAAAACAATAAGAATATTAGCGACATGATAATTAATCATTAAGTCGAAGAACCCCTCCACAGGAGGCTTTATAATATAGTGTATACTGTTGAAACAGATGTAATAAAGACATGACACCGATTTATTTCAATAGATCACGTATCTGAGATAACCGACGGTTTCTTATATGTCCATGTTTCTACCCGGCAGGGTACCTGCACATATTTCTTCAAATGCTATACATGGAGACTTTTGTATATTATCATATAGATGATAAAACAAACACGCCAGTATACCCTGAATTCAACAATATGACATTGATAAATACTATCTCTACTATATCCCTTGTAGACTTATGTTGAAGTAATTAGTGATAAAAATAAAGACAATAAGTCTCTTCATTAATTATACAAAAGTGCTGATCAACTTGGTCAGTTTCTTCAGTCTGTAAAAAGACTAGCTACAACGTAGACCTATATGCACGTGTAGTTAATAAATTAAAAAAAAAAAAAAAAAAAAAAAAAAAAAACTGTTATGAAACAGACAAACATCTATCTATGATATTAGATATGAAATAAATACATAAAGGTCGGCCTCCGATGAGGGTTTACCTGGGAATACTCCCGAAAGAACCCGAAACATTGCATATTAAATTCTAAAGAATTAAGCAATAAAAAGTACGTAGTGTCAGGTCAGAAATATTGATACCATACCATGAATAAGTGGGTTTATGGTCTTTTTATAAAACAGTCTGTAAAAAGACTAGCTACAACGTAGACCTATATGCACGTGTAGTAAATTTGAAAAAAAAACTGTTATGAAACAGACACACATCTATCTACAATACTAGATATACAATAAATATATAAAGGTCGGCCTCTGATGAGGGTTTACCTGGGATTATTCCCGAAAGAACCCGAAACATTGCATATTAAATTCTAAAGAATTAAGCAATAAAAAGTACGTAGTGTCAGGTCAGAAATATTGATACCATACCATGAATAAGTGGGTTTATGGTCTTTTTATAAAACAATTTGATACGGTGAATATTTCACTAGTTGTGATCTCACCCGTTGAATCAGGTTCTATTTAATTATAGAATTTTTGATCCTTATTAATGCTATGGTACGACGTATTTCTGATCGAGAAACTACGTACGACACTATACTATATGCACAATGTAATAGTATACAATTCTATATGTATATAATACTGTACATCTTTCTTTATGTATATAACACTGTACATCTTATACAATATACATGTAACTAATTATGTAAATAACATAGATCTACTATATAGCTATCACTATTTACATATGAAACAAAGATATACCTGAAACAATAAAGTAATGAATAAAAATAAAAATAAAATAATACAGAAACAAAATGTATGTATATAACATACAAGACACTGATATATATATATATATATATATATGAAAATGATACCGAATCATATTTGACTGAAACATGGAAGTTATACTATTATACTAGCAAACAACCTTATGTCATCACTATAACATAGTCCTAAAACATACGTGAAATATTTGCAATTGGACGTATAGCAATCAACAATCAATAATTCATCACTATGTAAAACCTAAGAAGGTAACATGGAAAATAATTACAAACTGATATGATTGTCAATGAACTAGGGAAGTGATACTATTATACTAGCAAACAACCTTGTTTCGCAACTATATGTATCATAGTTCTAAACATACATGAAATATTTGCCACTGGATGCTAAGCAACCAACAAATCTTTAATTCATCGCTGTATCATGTCAAACCTCAGAAGGTAGCATGGAAACTAACTACAAACTAATATGATTGTCAATGAACTATGGAAGTTATAATATTATACTTGCAAACAACCTTATGTCATCACTATATCATAGTCATGAACGTACATGAAATATTTGCCACTGGATGCTAAGCAACCAAGAAATCTTCAATTCATCGCTGTATCATGTCAAACCTTAGAAGGTAGCATGAAAACTAACTACAAACTAATATGATTGTCAATGAACTATGGAAGTTGTACTATTATACTAGCAAACAACCTTATGTCAGCACTATATCATAGTCCTAAACATACATGAAATATTTGCCACTGGATGCTAAGCAACCAACAAATCTTCAATTCATCACTGTTTCATGTCAAACCTTAGAAGGTAGCATGAAAATTAACTACAAACTAATATGATTGTCAATAAACTATGGAAGTTATACTATTATACTAGCAAACATCCTTGTTCCACCACTATATGTATCATAGTTCTAAACATACATGAAATATTTGCCACTGGATGCTAAGCAACCAACAAATCTTCAATTCATCACTGTTTCATGTCAAACCTTAGA